GCCTCTTTGAGAGCCATCTTATCTAATAATTAATATTTTAAAGAAAAAAATAAAGAGAAAATCCTATAAATATATCAAAAAGTTGAAAATATATGCAATGCACCCCACTTGTGGAATTTCCATTTTTGTAAAGGAGTAGGGCAGGGATATATTCTCATATTTCTTCTTTGAGGCCATGCTTGTTTTTCGTAATTTTGCAACATTCACTTTCCCTTGTATGGGGGTTGTTCTTTCTATTTACATTGTTGTTTTATTTATGCATATTGTTTTCTTGGCTCTGCTTGCTTCACTCAGCATCAGTTGTATAAACCTTTTCTATACTCATCATATTTATCATATCATATCATATCACTTATAGCATAGTAATATTCCATTCCATTCGTGTGTACTACTTTGTTTAGCCATGCCCTATTTGATGGGCATCTACTTTGTTTCTAATTCTTTGCTACTACAAAAAATGCCATGGGGACTTTTTTCTTACCAATAATTTCATTGGGTTATAAGCCTAGTAGGGGAATTTCTGGGTCTAAAAGTATGGATGGTTTAGTCACTTAATTTGTATAATTACAAATTGTTTTCCAAAGTAGTTGGATTGATTCTCAGCTCTACCAATGATGCAATCATATGCCTACCTTTCTACAACCCCTCCAGTATTGACTATTCCTCTCTTTTGTCATCTTTGCCAATTTGTAAGGTGAAACCTCAGGGTTATTTTGATTTTCATTTCTCTTTTTATTAGTAATTTGGAGCACCCTTTTATGTGATTGTTAATACTTTGTTATTCTTTTGAGAACTGCTTGTTCATATCTTTTGATTACTTATCTATTGGGAGGAATGGCTTTTGGTCATATCATATCATATTCCATACTATATTATGCTATATCATATCATATCACATCGTATATATTATATTAAATTATACTATATCATATCATATCATATCATATTGTATGATATCATTATTGTCTATTGTATTAACATATGATTAATATATATGTATGCATATATGTGGAAAGTTACTATGGACCACCTGCAAATATAAAAAAAAATCATAGTTTTTGTTATATAGAATGCTTCTTTGTAATGGAATTTATGGAAATTGGGTTCCCCTTATATTTCTCTTTGATAACCACCTGAATAAAGATATGGGCAAAGTTAGATTTAAAATAATATACTTTGTCCAGGTTGGCAGGAGAGTCTGATGAAGAGATGTTGAAAGTGGAAATGGTACCAGCAGCTGAATTTCTACTCTTGTCTGGGAAGAACATATTACTAGTAGCTCAGGAGCTCCATATTCACCCAGATAATCAGTGCCACAAGGAAGAGCTAATTATCACAGCTCAGAAGATCTTGGTGGGAACAGTAAAGGTGAGGCTGATGGAGGAAGGATGCCCTTCCATCTGTTTAGACATGGAATTACAAAAATCGATCAGCAGGGACTTATTAAATACCTACTATATACCTGGTACCATGCTAGGTGTTGAATAATGGCTCATTTCTACGTCGAATTACAGTTTTCAATGGACATTCTTTAAAGAATCATAGGAGGCAGATAATATGTTATTATCTATATGTTATAGGTAAAGAAACTGAGTCTGAAGTTACATGGCTAGAAAGTGGCGGAGGAAGCATTCAAATCCAGGTCTTCTGACTATCAAGTTTAGAGCTTTTTCTATTCTGTCACTTTGTCTTAGAGCTGACTTTGAGATCATTTAGTCTAATTTTACAGATAAGAAAGCCAGTACTCAGAATGGTTACATGATCTGTCTCTGGTTAATAAAGAGGATGGCCTAGAATGTATTCAGACATCATAACACTTGTCGTATTCACACTGAATGGCAAGGTAGAATTATGCCTGCACTAGCCACCATTATGAATCAATGCATGCTTGGTTCCTCCCCCTTACCTATGTATAGACTAATCCCAATCCATAATTATGGGATATAGCTGCAAGGGGATCTTGTGGGAAGGGAAAGGCGAAAGGAAATAAGCATTTATATAGAACCTTCTGTGTTCCAGGCACTGTAGTAAGTGCTTCTGCAAGGTAGATACTATTATTATCCCCATTTTACAGTTGAAGAAACTGAGGAAAACAGAGATTAAAATGACTTGCCCAGGTTATACAGCTAGGATTAAGGAGGATTAGGAAAGGCTGCTTATACATGATGGGACTTCAGCTGAGATGTAAAGGAAGCCAGGGAAGGCAGGAGGCGAAGATGACGGGGGAGAACATTCTGGCTCTGGTGGGCAGCCTGTGAAAATGCCTAGGACACAGTAAGGAGGCCAGTGTCACTCTATGGCAGAGTCTGTTGAGGGGAGTAAGCTGTTAGAAAACTGAAAAGGTAGGAAGGGGTCAGGTTATGAAGGACTTTAAATGCCAAACTGGATTTTTATGTCTGAGCCTGGAAGTAATAGGGAGCCACTGGAATTTACTGAACGAGGATGATGGTGATATGGTCACATCTGTACTTTAGGAAGATCATCTTCATGAATTTGAGGGGAGAGAGACTTGAAAGGCAAGGAGTCTGACTAGAAGGTTGTTATGAATTTACAGGGATGAGAATATAAATAGAATACGTTAAAATATCAACAATTACCAGCCTATATGCACCAGGGTAGAGGCAGTGTTAGGAGAGAGAAGGGGGTATAGAAGAGAGATGTTCCAAAAGTAAAAATTGACAGGCTTTGGCAACAGATTGGATATGGGAGTGGTGGTGGTAAGAGTGAGTGAGGAGTTGAGGATGACACCTAGGTTAAAACACTGGGAGGATGGCAGTACCCTCAATAGTAATAGGGAAATTGGGAAAGGAATGTGATTAGGAGAAAAATAATGATCTCAGTTTTAGGCATGATGAGTCTAAAATGTCTATGGGATATACAGCTCAAGATGTCCAGTAGGCAGTTGGAGTTGTGAGACTGGAAGTCAAGAGAGAGGTTAGGGCCAGAGAAGTAGATCTGAGAGTCATCTGCCCAGAGATGATCATCGAAATCATGTGAACTGAGATCACCAAGTGAAATAGTACAGAGGGAGAAGAGTCCTAGAGGATACCCACAATTAGCAGAGAGAGAGCTATAATAGTAGAGCTATTATAGTTGGACTGAAGTACCAAAGTCTCTGATATACCACATGGAGCAATAGAAATAGCACTAAAGAAAGTAAGATAGGATGAAAAACTATAGGAGATCAAATATAAACAGAAGAGGTTCATGCTGAAGGCAGTAACACAATTTGGGGCCATTGAGAGATTAATTTTGATGGTATCTGAAAGAGGAGAGGATATTAAAGACTTGGAAACAAATCACGGACCTTATTATTGCTAAAAAAAGTGATTAAAAATATTAACAACTACCAGCCATTATGTTTATTTTCATATATCTACACAATTTTATGAGAATAATCTACACATGTATCAAGTGAATCCTTGATTTGAGAAGGGAACAAGCAGGCCTCCACAAGTGACATGCTAGAACAGACAACATCTTTATAGTCACACAATTGACTAAATGGTGCAGAGATTAAGGTGCAGAGATTGCACTGAGATTCATTTTATTGAGTATGAAACATTTATTCAGTGGAGCCAAAATTTCATATTAAAGGCTTTCCTCTAATAAAGTGTCTTCCTTTCAATTGTAAAAATCACGACTACCTGAAAGATGAACCCCAACAGAGAAAACTTTGATGATTCTCTAACTTAATGTCTATCAAGGCTCACATTGTGATGATTACATAAAGCCCTAGAGCACTGTAAAGCCTCCTTCATGATATCCCTTTTTACTTTAAAATATTTGGTCTAACTAGTCAGAAAGGAAAAACCAAATGGATGAAGGATGCCCATTGTCCAGACTATGATATGAAGTTCAATGGAAAACCCAGAGTTGCTCTATCAGTACATATAACTTGGACAGACACTGCAGATGAACAGCAAACTTGTCCCAGAATTAAACAGGACATAGAGAGTAGGCTAGATTACATTTGGAAATTGCAGTAGTTTTAATGACTCCAAGCTTTTCCTGAAATGTATATTTCAACAATTTATTTTAACAGGATTTCTGGGAAGAAATGGACAAGAGTTGAGAAGGCATGGATGGATTGTGATCTGTCTCATTGCAGGGAGTACCCACATCCCTGATATTAGAGATCCATCCAAATAAGTATGTCCCTCATCAAAGTGCTATTGGAAGGATCCAATGAATTAACCTAAAAGCACTTTGCAAACTTTTAGGTATTTTATAATTGTTACCTATACTGAGAAGGTATGGATTTGCATTGGTAGAGAGAATTTCCTTGTCCAGAAATTTTCTGAATACTAATAAAATCACTATCCCTATTGTTGTTAAAAATATTTAAACATCTCAAAGATCTTTCTCTCCCTCCTTCCTTTCTTGCCTTGGTGCCATATTGAACAGATCCTTCTCACTGAGGATGATGCAATGCTGAGGAAGATCATTCAAGCAGCTTGCTGTTGTCTGAACTACCTTGAGGACCTAGAGGCTGCTGGAGATGTCTCTACTGTGCTAGCTTTCTTTCAGAATTTCTCTGAAGGTCTGCTTTTTCTGAACACTCTGACTGAACACCGCCTGCTGGAACTGAAGTGGTCAGTTCATCGTGACTGTCTGGCCCGGTGCTTGCAGTTCTTGAAGAAGTGTATCCCTCTGCTCTACACAGCTACAAGTGGCCATCTCAGTCATCCCCAGAACCAGCAGGTGAGAGAGTGTAAGAGCTACATTTTTGATCTGACCAAGAAAATCCTTAAAGAACTGATTGCCCTGTTAAATGCAGAACATGAACCACACAAGGACCCACAGGAAAGAAGTGGGGTGTTTGCTCAGCACTTGGAGCAGTTCTTGATACTACTGGCTGAGCCAATACAAGAAACTCTCCTTCAGGGGGACTTAGATTCCCTGTTAGGAGTGGTGGTATTTCACAGCATGCTCCTAGCCGAATCTTCCAGACCCCACATGAAGCTGAAGCTAGTCCAATGCTGCCACTGTCTATTGGAGCTTAGAAACATGGTTGTCCAGTGCCCAAGCAGGATGGAGATCCTGTCTTCAGTGGACTGCTCAGATCAGGATCTCAGGGAGAAATGGGCCATGCTGAGGTGTGAGGTGCAGATTCTTGACCAAACCATGAAGACTGGGCTCCTCTACCAGATCCTGGACACTTTCACAGATGTTCAAGGACCTTTGAAAAAACTGATTCAAGCTGCCTGGGGGACTGCAGTGCTTGGCTCTCCCTGGGACAGTGAAGGGTTTGCCAAAAGCTTCCAGCCTTTCATTGATGCTTTCTGCATGCATTCTGAAAAGATGTTCAAAGTGGCTCATTTGGTCTTGGTCCGTTGTACTCAGCATCAAATTGGTAAAGAAATAGAGGAAACTATGTCTATCCTGCAAAAGCTTATGGTCAGAGTGCTTCCCCTTTTCACCAAGAGTCAAGGGCTGGATCTGGCCTTGCTTTCTGATACCTTCCAGGATGTGTATCAAGCATGGGTCTGGGCAGCAGAAGGCTTGCTGGCATGTTTTGATAATATTTTCGATATCCCCGAATTCTTGACTGTGTCCATTGAGGAAATGGCAAAACATATGGGTTTCTCTAAATGGGCTTTGAATAATGGAAATTCCAAGAAATTTTCCTGGCATGTAGCTTATCTTCAGGGTCGAGCTAAGCACATAGTGCAAGTGATGAACAGATATGTGGACCAAAACCGAGATCCCATTTTTCGGAATGGTTTGAGGGTTTTGATTCAGCAACTGGAAAACTCTATTCCTGTGGTGACAGCAGCTGCTGAGCACTGCTTAGAAAATAGGCATGATATCCAAGCCATGGATGTGTTCCTCAACAAGGCCATGCTTCTTATTGACTCTACTCATGGTGTCCAAGATGGTCTGGATGGGACCAACCATCCAGATATCTTAAGCCCACTCCGAGATCAAGTCCATAAATTCATCACTCCCAAAGGACAACTATGCCTTACTCCTCACAGTCTCCTGGAGTTGAGCAGCCTAGAACCGATGGGCAAACTCGTTGGAGGGCCTAGGATAGTAGAAGAATTCTCAAACACCTCATATGATCCTGAGGAATGGCATTCTAGGGACATCCCCACTCTCAGCCTCATGGTTCCTAAGGTCATTTCACAGGGGATACTGCTACCTGTCATTAGCAAACTTGTCCTGGCTGTAGAGAACCATGACCTCTCAGTGGTCAGTTCTGCTTGCACAGAATTGCTGGATCTTGCCAATTGTACTGATGCTGCTCAAGAGGCCTTGGTTGGGGAAAAGTCATCGGAGTCAGAGGGGATAGTACAAACACAAGATGCCATCTTCTTAACACCTTATACAATTGGCTTAGCTAAAGAAATTGGAAATGAGCCAGCCTCTAGCACAGGACGACTGCTTGAAGCAGCTCTCCAGCTGTCTGAAAAGATTGCTGAAATCCACCAAAATTTAGCAGCTATTACTGGTGACTGGTACCATTTCTCTCAGCAGTTGTTTTGTGACATACAGATTGCTGACCTTCCAAGAAATGTGCAGATTTTCAGTGAAGTCAGGCAGAACATAATGGATGTGGCTCAGCTAGCAGACAAAGCTGGACAGATACATTTGAATGAAGAGCCCCCTTTGCCAATCCAGAATTTGGAACAATTGTTGCAGATTCGAGCTAAACTCCAGAAAGTGGAGACTCATGCCCGGTTCTTACTGGACAAGGTGTTAGACTCAAATGGTATGCACTGTCCTAAGACCGAGGAAATGAGTATCAAGGGGAGCTGCCTCCTGTGGTCTGTGGCTGTCCATGCCTTGCTAAGGGGCATTGATGACTTCATTGGGAGAGATATCCTGTTCCTAACTGAGTTGAGGCAGGGGGTGAAGGACAAGCTGAGTTTTCAGGGTGGGCTGGCCCCACTGGCTACCACTTCTCTGAGGTTACAGGAAGCTGCGAGATTGTCTGCTCTGTTGTGTGGTGATGAGAGAGTAAAGGGGGAGGTGGTCTTGCTGCAGGGGGAGGTCCACGTGCTGACAGAAGCTCTGCTAGAAGTGGCCCAGATCCTTGCCCTTTCTCCTCCTTTGGTGCCCAACTTGTCCATTCGTTTTGAACTTCTCCAACGGGAGCTTGCCCTTCAAGCCAAGGTCCTGGCAGGCTATCTCAGCAGCATCAACAAAGACTATGAAAGGACCATACAGGATACTATTCAGCTAGTGCTTTCTGCTTCCAGTGCTTCCAAAGATGACAAGACAAAGTTAAAAGTTGCTCTGGGAAAGAATATGATCCAGATCACCTCTGGCATCCAGACAGTTCAGAAAATTGTGGAGGAGTTTGGACCTGGCCAGGAAAGCCTCCTCAGAGTAATGGAGCACCTCATCTTCCTTACTGCTGAGGTTGGACAGAAAGCCCACATGCTCCTGGACCACCCCCAGGACAAGGTAGCTGAAATGCTGGAAAGTCTTCAGTGGCAGTGGGCAGCTGAGGCTCATTATGTGGCAGCCCAGCTCCAGATGTGGAGAGGCAGCCATGCCTCAGCCCTGCAGCTCCTAGCCCAGGACTTGAAGACCAGTGGTGCGTCTGTTGGGATTCCAAGTGAGGATCCTGACTTGACTCTGCCCAGTCAGGGAGAGGGGTTCATAGCAGCAGAAGTGGACAATATGGCATGTCAGGCCACATCTTCAAGAAAAATCTCAGACCCAGCTGGTTCAGAGGAGTCTTGCCCTCATCAGAAAGATGCAGCTGCTATGACAGTTTCCAGGAAGAACCTGAACAAGGTATGGTAGTTATAATCTTTAATTATCCCATTTCTATCCTTCCTAAATCCCATCCCTTAGCAGCAGCTTAGTAACTGAGGCTAATAAGTGAGTTCCAGGAAAATCCTATCTCCTGTGATGAAAGCTCCACTCATCCCAGTCTATAGTGTTCTCTCTCCCCTGAACTCCTGTAGAACTCATTTATGTCCTTCATCTCTGGCACTTAACATATACTGCCTTTGTGTACATATATCTATGATGACAGAATGTTCATTTCTCAAGACAGACACCATTCCTGATATGTCTTTCTTTCTCATGAAGTACCTAGAATTGTGTCTTCATGGATATTTAATTCCAGTTGCTAAGTGGAAGGAGGGAGGGGAACAGGAAAGAAGAGAAGAAAGGAAGATAGGATGAAGGAAGGGAAGGAAAAGGGGAGGAAGGGAAAAGAAGGCAGGAAAGGAAGAAGGAATGAATGAAGCATCTTATGTACCTTGGGTGGGTAGGGGGAGTAACACAAATTTTTGGAGCCCATATGAGAAGCTGCTTTCTGTGATTACTAGTGTTAGGAAAAGGGAATGGAGCTATGATTTTCATTGATAATAGGGAACTTCTGGGTGAGGAAACTCCCTCTACCAATGCAGATGGGCAATTCTGCAACTTGGCCTTGAGCAGTGAGAAATTCAGTGCCTTGTCCGGTATGTGTTGGAGGTGGGACTTGAATCCAGGTCTTTCCTATCATAGGGCCTGGCATATAGTAGGTGCTTAATAGTTTTTTCATTCATTCATTCATTCATTCATTCATTCATTCATTCCTGGCTCTGAGGCTGGCCCTTTACCTAACTGTTGTGTCTTTCCCAGTATCTAGTCAAGATAGTCTTTATAATATACTGCCTTTTGGTAAACAGTGTTACTATGAGTAATACTATTTCAGTATAACTCAGTCTTAGGAGTCATTCTGTGAAATTGCCTTATACCAAGGTCCTTTTTTCATGAACAATCCTCATTGGATGGAGTCCATGATGTATCTGCCTTAAATTTCATGATGTTTTAGTACTTGAAATAACATGCTGGGGTCTTGTTATGATTTCTCCAGAAGGATTTTTATAAATCAGTGTTGATCATTATATTTCAACTTGTTGCTTTTTCTTTCACTAAAACTGGATCCCAGCTCTTTCAGTGCTGGGTCTGTGCTTTTTCTAAACTTTGCATCTTTCGCAGTGTCTGTTTTAGTGGTCTACATACATTAGGTCATATTAAATGGTGGTTGGTGTTGTTAATAGAAAAAGAATAAAATAAACTTTTTGGTGGTATGTCTCTGCACATACCCTTCCTTCCCTCTATCATTCTAAGGCTCTAAATTTTTCTTATTTCCAATGAGGTAAATCTCTGAAGTGTACATTTCTAGGTTTCTTCTTCTTCTTCTTCTTCTTCTTCTTCTTCTTCTTCTTCTTCTTCTTCTTCTTCTTCTTCTTCTTCTTCTTCTTCTTCTTCTTCTCCTTCTCCTTCTCCTTCTCCCCCTCCTCCTCTTCTTCTTCTTCTTTCTTCTCCTCCTCCTTTCTTTCTTTCTCCTCCTTCTCCTCCTCCTCCTCCTCCTCCTCCTTCTTCTTTACCAATAAAGAATCAAGATACAAATACTGGCTTTGAACCTTTGGATCCTTTTTAAATTAATACTGGGATGGTTTGGATACAGTATTTTCTGGAGGCAGAGCTGTTAATATTCAGAAAAATCCTCCCTTCAACTTATTGTTCCAGTTCAATTAATCACTTATTGAGCACTTATTGAATGGACATAACTAGGTGCTAAGGGAGGGAGAGAGAGAAGAGAGGTAAAATAAATTGAAAATCTAGTTCCAATCCTTGGTGACTACACAAACATATATAGAACAATTACAGAATTCAACTTTATTCAATACTCTCTCTGTATAATACTATCAGGCATTTTCAGGCTAAGTATTGCTCTGAATACTTGATATCAGACTATATACTTCCTTGTAAATGCTGAGGACATTTGGAGTAAGATAAAGAACATAGTGCATTCAGGGTAGTCAGGAAGGTTCCCTAGGGAAGATGACTTTAAAGAGAATCTCAAAGAAAGCATAGGAAACAGGAAGAGAGGAACGGGAAGGGCAGTCAGGTATGGGAATAGAGTGTAGAAGCCACTGTCCATAAGTGACTAGTACCACAGGGTAAAATTCCTTTGTTGGATAGGTACTTTGCTCTTGATGTAGGAATGATTATTCTACAATTACCAAGAAAACAGCCTGTAATTATATCTTCACTGTGAAGTCTCTTATCTTGTCCCAGCTACTGTTCAGGCTGGTAATCATTGGTAGCCATCTGGATTACCCACTAAATAGCTCAGATTTCTATGTTTCTTTAAGACTAATAAGCCTTTGTCCTTATGACAACCCTGTGGGATAAGCAATGCAAATAATATTATCCCCACTTTCAGATGAGGTCTGAGGGAATCTGACCAATGTCAACAATAGAAAACAGACTAAGAAATCACTTAGGTTTACAAGGAACACTAGTTTTCTAGGTTCTGGGGTTATATCTGTGCCATAAGTGGAAGAAGAGAAAAGGGGGAGAGAGAGAGAGAGAGAAGAGAGAGAGAGAGAGAGAGAGAGAGAGAGAGAGAGAGAGAGAGACAGAGACAGAGAGAGAGAGACAGAGAGACAGAGAGAGAGAGGCAGAAAGAGAGAGAGAGAGACAAAGAGAGACAGAGACAGATAGACAGAGACAGAGGGAAAGAGAGGCAGAGACACAGAGAGAGAGAGAGAGAGACAGAGACAGAGGCAGAGAGGGAGTTTTTATATATCTGTTGGGGGTGATCCTTGGGGAAACCAACCATTTATAAAGAGTCTACTATGGCAGGCATTGTGCTAAGCACTAAGATAACAAAGAAAGGCAAAACTAAGCCAGAACAAAATATAATACCACCATCATCAACAACAGAACAATTCTTGTTTTTAAGGAGCTCACAATCTGATAGAGGATGCATGCAAATGACTATGTACAAACAAGATATATACAAGATAAAGTGGAGATAATTTCCTAGGGAAGGCACTAAGATTAAGGAAGATTGGGAAAGGCTTCTGGGAGGAGGTGTGGACTTGGAAGGAAGCCAGCAGTTGGAGCTGAAGAAGGAGAGTTCCAAGCATTGGGACAGCCAGTAAAAATGGCTAGAGTAGAGAGATGGAATGTTATTCGGGAGGAATAACAAAGAAGCCAATGTCCCTGGATCTTAGAGTTTAAAGAGTTGAATGAAGTATAAGAAAACTGGCTAGGTAGGAAAGGCCTAGTTTATGAAGGGATTTAAAAGCCAAACAGAACCAGACTAATTTTGTCTGACCTTGAAATGCAGTAAATGTTATCAATTACTTTAAAAAATAATATTAGTATTTTAAGTATGAGCCTACATTTGTATAGTGCTTTACAAGTGCTTTTTACAAGTTTTCTTATTTGCAAAACTCTTTTTTGATCCTTACAACAACTCTGAAAGGTAGGCATTGCAGATGAGGAAACTAAGTCTCCAAGGAAGTGAGTGATCTGTCCTAGGTTGCAGAGCTGGAGGCAGCTGGCGGCTCAATGGATAGAATACTGGGTCTGGAGTCAAGAAGACAAGTTTGATTCCAACTGTAGGCACTTATTAGCTCTGTGACCCTGGGCAAGTCACTTAATTTACATTTGCCTCAGTTTCTTCAGCTATAAAATGGGGATAACAATAGCACCTGCCTCAAAGCATTTTTGTTAGGATCAAATGAGGTGAAAGGAAATGCAAAAGAAGGAAACTGTCTTCTCCACAGAGGTGAAAAACCTAGATATTGGAAAAAAAACCACCCCAAATATTGGGTATTTTATTAATTCCTCCAACGTTCAGTATAAAGCATGCTGGAATGGGATGTAGAGGACCTGTGTTTATCTGCTATTGACTACTTTTGTGTCCCCAGGCAAGGTCACGACATCTTGGTTTCTTCATTTTCTCAGCTGAAAAGTGTGTTTGTGTATGGGGTGGTGGTGGTGGTGGTGGTGGTAGTAGTAGAGGGGGATTACATGACTTCTGAGGTTCCTTCTAGTTCTATATGGCCCTATTATCCTTTCATTCCTTATTTTGACAGCTAGCTAGCAAGTCCCATGATGCCTCTCCTTGTTGTCCAGCTGAGTCGACCCCTGACCTAGGACATCCATTCCTGAGGGATGATTCCATGGATAAGTGGAGGGACAGTAGCAACAGAATTGAACAGCTCACCAGAGAAATGGCCACAGAAGTGTTTCACATGGCCCAGAGTCTGAAGAGGAAAGGGCCCATAAAGGTACCTCTTAGCAAAAAGCTGCCTTCTGGTTCAAAAGACCACCTAAATATTCCTAGAAACTGAGTCATAGAAGCAAAAATGGGTTAGCATTCAGGGAATATCCCTCCTTGATGTGTTCATTCCTCAATTCTAGAGACAGCACTGGGGTGGATCTGCTAGGAAACTGTGTCAAAAGACACAAAGTTCTCCCCCACTTCTAGATCAACTGTTCCCTCTCTATACTCAGGAACAATCATTTCACTTCCCTGTCTCCCTTTTCCCATTCTGGGCTCATCTCCTACAATAACAACAACAACAACAACAACTCCTTCCTCCTCTCCTCCTCCTCCTCCTCCTCCTCCTCCTCCTCCTCCTCCTCCTCCTCCTCCTCCCCCTCTTCTTCAATTTCCCCCTCAGAGACAGCATCTTACTCAAATCAAGATGGAGTGACAATGAACCTTCTGCATTATTGCTCTAGGTGGTTTCCAAAATCAGAGCTGATGACAATAGACACTTTTCTGTGCTTTCGATAGCTGACAACCAGGACTAGCTTAATCGAAATAGAAAGTTGCCTAGGAAGTATGATTCAAGGAAATTAAAAAAAAAGAAATGTTCCTCAACAAACACTTTCCCCCTTTGCTCCATCACAATGCCTGAAATATAAGTTGAATTCTTCTTTTGGTGTAAAGCCCTGAAATGTTTTAATATGTTAAAAGAGCTTTCATTTTTTTCAAGTAGGTATTCATGCCCTTCACTGATACAGGTTGCAACCCCTCCATCCAGCAGATGCTTTAATGGTTGCTGGGATTAAAGGAATTCATCACATGGTGGGTGGTCCATCTTCTGGTGATGGATGACTCTCTTCATACTTTGCTAGACTGGTCCTTGAATGAGGTCCTTGAATGATAGATACTGAGTCTTTGGCTAGTCCAATACTTTCAGTGCTTTATAGCTTGGCAGGACCTTCTAAAGCTTGTACTCTCTTGGCATAGTTAATGTTAAAATGCAAATGTTATGTGTTAACATTACCAGGTAAGACCAGCTCAAATTAGTTTATTATATTAATACATCACCAGGCAAGGTGGAAGCAGCAAATAAATATTGAATAGATTCCTGGACTTGGAGTCAGAAAGACTTGGGTTCAAATCCCACTTCAGACACTAGCTGAGTGATCTTGAACTCTTCCTCATCTGTAAAATGAGGGGATTGGACTCTAAATTTATGATCACATTGTACAATGAGGACCCAGGACAGGTAAGTTTTAGTGGAGAACAGAGAAGGAAAGGTCTTGAACACAGGAAGTACATCTGACTTTCCTTCTAATTCTATTTCTATGACCCTATGATCCTTTCATTCTTTATTTTAACAGCTAACTACAGAGTCCCATGGTGCCTCTCCTCTCTGTTCAGCTGAGCCAGCCCGAGACCTACTAAATATGTCCTACATAAGACCCTGTCCAGGGGCTCTGGGAGGAGGAGCTCAGCAATTCCCTTCATCTTTGAATATCTCAGTTGTCTCAACTGTAAAGTGAGGGGAGGCAGTACACTTGATCAAGAATCCTATGAATTCCCTATCTTCTTAGTATTCCTGGGGTCAGATGTGCTGACAGCATTGTCTTGTCTGACTTACTCTCCATCCTCTGGCTTTCCACGGTCTCCTTTTCTTTTTAAAGCAGAGAATCAATGATTCAGAAGTCACTTTGAATTCATATCTATTACAAGAGAACAAGCAGAATTAGAGCTTCCCTAGAAAGCAGTGTTGTTAAAAAGGGGAAGACAGTAAATGTTTGAAAACAAAGAGCCAAATGAGGAAGATATTCTTTGGAGCAGATGCTCAAATGAGGGGAAGTTAACATCCTCCTTCATTAGTCCATACACTGATGGTGCTGCCTTGGATATTTGACATTAGCTACTGCTTGTGACTGTCTTGTCACACCAAAGTAAAAGGGGAATGCCGTCTGGTGGGGGTAGGGTTCCTCTCTGGAGTTCTAATTCTGTATTCAAGGGAATAATTAGTGGAAGATCTCTCTCTCTACCAATGCAGATTGGCTATTTTCCTGCAATTTATCTTCTTACAGAGTTGCTAGGGGTGCAGAGAGGTTAAATAATTTGCCCAAGGTGACCCGGCCAATACATGTCAATGGTGCACCTTGAACCCAAGTATTCCCCACCATGAGGATGACTCTTTATCCACTATGCCTTGCTTCCTCTCTGCGGGTTGTAATGTGACAGATGGTGAGGGTACAGGCTGGCCTATTAATTATTTGGTGCCTTCAAATTTTATAACTTCACTGAAAATTTTTTAAAGAAGCTTTACATGGCTTCTTCATCTTGTGAAAACATTCACCAACAATAGCAAGATGTCATTTGGACTTGCTAAGTATAAAAATCTTAATGGGTACCAAGGAGATGAATAAAGACTGAAGGATTTGAATTTGAATCTGAAGGTCAAGTTAAACCAATAGATGAAGGTGATACTCACAGATACATTGGTGTTCTCCAGACAAGATACACTGAATATAAGGCTATGAAGGAAAAAAATGTTTAAGCTGTGTGTTTTACAAGACTGATGGGCATCCTATGTTTAAAGCTTATCAGGAAGAACACATTTAGAGCAATTAATACCTATACAACATCAGTCTACACATAGTTTTGGCATGTAAAATGGATTATGGATCTATAAGGTGCAATATTAATGAAATACTGTGTTTAGCACCCAAGGCAGCTGTAGAAAGATTAATGCTTCCTGGCCAAAAAGGAGGAAACACAACACAATATATCATAACAGGTTATCAAATGTAATGACTTTATGACACCTAGAAAGACATGAATAGATGGCCAGATGTATACATTAGAAGTTCATAATTATAGACTGACCAATGATAAATCCCCCATGATAAATAAATAAATACAAACCCCAAAATAACCTTGAGAATTCCACAAACTATTGGAGTAGGAGCATCATTATAGACTAAACTGTTATACAGAAACACTTAAATATAACATTGATATGCAAAAATCTAAGAGCAATGTTTTCAATAGATGTCACTATCCAATATCCAATAATATCCAAACTAAATGGAATAAAAAGTGTTCAAAATATAGAGACCTGGAAATTGAAAGCATGCTGGAAAAGAACAAAGTGCACAACAGTCTTGACCATTCGCCTTCTACTGCAGTTGTACTGGAGATATTTTCAGTGAATTTATAGAAGGTGAGCGTATACTCCTAAAATCTTATTAAATCATGAAAAGTGGTCATTTTATCCACCTAGTGAATAACTCACTGAACATTAAATATATTTTTAAGAAGCAGGGTAGTGACTTGTCCTTGGAACATTTCTATCTAAATTCTACCAAAAATGAGAAGTGGTGTCAATGGTAATGTAGATAGCATATTGGATAGAGCCCCGAACCTGGACTTGGAAAGGTCAGAGTTCAAATCTAGCCTCAAAGACTCACTAGCCATGTGACCCTGGGCAATTCACTTAACCTCTGGCATCCTCAGTTTCCTTATTTGTAAAATGGAGATAACAACATTTACCTCCCAGAGTTGTTTTGAGGATCAAATGAGATATTTGTAAAATGCTTTTCAAATCTTAAAGTGTTATGTAAATGCTGGCTTATTATTATGTTAACAACACAAAGTTACAAAACAATGTATTTCCAATCAGAAGAGGGCAATAATAAGAAATAACTTTATCCCTAAGCCTGGTTTTAATGTAATCAAGGAAGTATTCCTATCTGAAGAGGGAAAAGTTGAAAAACCTGAGGTCATTGAAAGTCTTCACTTGACACAAAATCTAATAATTATACCTAGTAACAAAATGGATGAGAAAAAGGTACTGATGTTTGAAATTATTTTGAAAAGGAGATAGGTATATGCAGATTGGAATTTCAACCCCCATCCCTCTTTATTTAGCTTGACAACATGAATCCAACTAAGATAACAATTATTCCAAAGCAGCATAATTTTTAAATTAAAAAAAAATATTCATGGGGGTTAAGTGACTTGCCCAGGGTCACACAGCTAGCTAAAAGTATCTGAGGTCAGATTTGAACTCAGATCTTCCTGACTCCAGAGCCAGTACTCTATCCACTGCACCACTTAGCTGCCCCATTTATTTTGTGAGGCAATTGGGGTTAAGTAACTTGCTCAGAGTCACACAGCTAGAGAGTACTATGTGTCTGAGGTCAGATTTGAACTCAGGTCCTCCTGACTGCAGAGCCCGGTGCTCCATACACTGTGCTACCTAGCTGCCCCCAAAGAAGCATAATTTTAAAAAGTTCATATTTGCTATAACTGTCATGAATGTACATATTTTCTCACTGTATTTGACAGAAAGCATAAAAATACTTTAGGACACAGTAGTATATGTGGTGGCTGTTGCCATGGTCAGAACCATAGGAAGAAAGGTAGAATTATCAAAGAATACCCCTAAAAAAAGGTATCAAATGCTATCATGGTAGAAGTGGTTGAGAGAGCTATTGAAGATCTATAGTAAATCATTAGAATTTAAATCAATGTCTATGGAACAGAAAATTTGAATGTCGTATCATCCAATTAAAGGCAATGAAAAAGAAACAGAAAATGGAATCTGGAAAATAAAATTATACCAGAAAAAGTATACCAGAAATTCTAGATTCTCTTAATCAGCAATTGAAAGCAAAACCAAAAATGTTAAGGTGATACAAGGAGTCAAAGCAGCACAAAGAACAAAATAAACAATTCAATGTCAACTTCAAAACTTTGCTACAGAGCCCTTAAATGAGAGAAAGAGGAAAAAGAAAACCCTCAAAAGAAGAGGTGGAAAATTTCTGACTGTCTATGTTGGAAAATGTAAATGGCATCAAATGAGAAATAGAAAAGATGCATACAGTTTATATAATTAAGGACAGAACAGTTATATCAAGGAAAATGATGAAAACCTGAACTTTTTTTTTATTATAGAATTAAAAAGTGAAGAGATCTATTATTATTGGCCCAACTCTTTCACAATGGCAAGCAAGTATATGTACTTAT